AAGCAGCTGGGTGCGATGCTAGGCTGTTTTGGAAACTAATGAGTAGACCAAAGCCCCGGCGTGAAAAATATATCCAGAGATAACACACAAAGGAATAACTGCAACTACCCCAGAATCGGTTGCTGATGTTTTTGCAGAATATTACTGTGACATTTACACTCCGAATTGTGATGGCCAATACGAAGATGAACACAAAAAACAAATTGAAACAGAATATGAGAATATCAAATGTTTTAATGAAAATGACGCACATCTCGAGTCTGAAATCTCGGAATCAGAAGTATCTCAAGCTACCCATACCATCAAATTACGCAAAGCACCGGGGGCTGACGGAATTCAAGCTGAACACTTAAAATACGGAGGTGCTGCAGTTACGCATCAACTCTGCAATCTCTTTAATGGTATCATGAAGGTTGGACAGATTCCTAAGGAATGGAAAAAAGGCATAGTAGTACCTATTTACAAGGGAAATAACAAGACAAAAAACTCTCCGGATAGCTACCGGCCGGTGTCCCTACTAACGTGTTTGTTAAAACTATTTGAAAAGATATTACACAATAGAATATCAGAAATAAGTCTCAGTAAAATCAAATTTCCAAACCCCCAACCACAAGGGTTTCAAAAGGGCCTGAGCTGCATTACAGCAGGTTTTAACCTACAAGAAACAATTAGACATTTCAATGATCATGGCAGTACAGTATACGCTGCATTTTTAGATTGTAAAAAAGCTTACGATACAGTTTGGAGAAAAGGTCTTATGGTGAAATTACGAGAATTACGTTTGAAGGGTATAGACATTTGTCATTGTGACACTGAAAGCTTAGTAGCTGTGAATGGTCAAAGCTCCCAATGGTTCGAAATAAAACAGGGCGTAAGACAAGGGGGTGTACTGTCTGGTTTTTTATATTGTGTTTTTATTAATGATTTATTAAATTCATTAGAGTATGTAAACAAAAATTTCGGTGTATATAATGTTACATCCACAAACCCGGCCTTAGCTGACGATATAGCTTGCTTGAGTTTAAGTCCGAATGGATTACAAAAAATGTTGAACATTGCATATAAGTACTCTTGTTTATGGCGCTTCTCATTTAATGCGCAAAAATCATGTATTGTTGTTTTTGGTAAAGGCAAACCCACAGCACAGCATATTTGGAAATTAGGTGATGAAAACATTCCTTCAAGTGACACCTATACACATTTAGGAATCATTCAACATTGTCAATTTAAATCCAGTGTCCGAACAATTAATAGCTGCAACAAGGGCAGAAAAGCATACTTTGCGATACAGTACAGGGAACTAATTTTGTTACATAAACCAGCATCAGGATCAGCATAAGTAGGATCAGGATAGAACTAGCATCAGCATCAGCATTTAAAAAAAAAGCATTACTTGGATCAGCATCAGCAAGCAAAGGATAGAACTAGCATTGACCAAAGTGAAAACAGATAAAGGAAAGTCATTTAATACAAATTACAAATAAAAATTACCCCAAAAATTATTTTTGATGGCTTAAAATAGCGATGCTGTTTTTGAATTATCCACTTCCGGCAGGATAATCCTACGTCCGGTAGCATTACTAGCATTGACCTAGTTTCAAACCAGCATCAGGATAAGGATCAAACCAGGATCAGGATAACTAGCATCAAAATCAGCAAGCAAAGGAAGCATCAAAATCAGCAAGCATAGAAAGCACCAAAATCAGCATTGATGCTGTAACAAAACTATTTCCCTGCACTGTACGTAATGATCTGTCAAGTAACACTAACCCGTTAACCCTTGTTAGTCTTTACAGGAAAATTGTGTTACCTACTGTTTTATATGGATGCGAACTGTGGAACGATTTAAAACAGGCGGATTTATATCTCCTAAATAAATTTCAGCATTTTGTGATGAAAGATATACAGGATCTTAAGATTTCTACAAGATCAGATATGTGCGAAAGTATGCTTGGGGTACACCCCATTATATCAGAAATAGACAAGCGAAAACTATTATTCTTTGGGAAACTGTGTGGGCTAGACGTCAGATCAATACCCTAACAAAAAACATCTTCCTGACAAGATTATATGACGTCTTACAGAACAAGAAATACTTCTCTGGTTTTCTGAAGGATTTGTTGGAAATATCGATGAAATACAATTTAATACAGAACCTTCAGAAGTTTACTGAAAGTTGAACTTTTCCCGAGAAAGTAAAGTGGAAAGTTATTGTCAAGAAGGCGATTCATCACTTCCAGACTGAGGCTTGGAAAATCCGCACGGAAGCAGACCCAGACTTGGGGGTGTTCAGAACACTTCATAACAGCGTTGAACCTATCAAAATTTGGAAATTTGACTTTTCATTCGATGATGTTCCATACATAAAATTTCTCGCCAAGCGCTGGACCATCCCGCCTTCCTCTGTTGTTAAAACCTGCAGTTTATGTAAAGATGTGTATAGTAATCCATTCCAGCATGCTGTGCTGTGGTGTCCAGTCACTATCCATATCAGAAATGCTTTTTTTGACGACATAGTAGATAATCTCACAGCTTAGTGATGATTTGTTATATGTATCGTTGCTGGGAGGGGTCGAACCAGTGTCTTTAACAGATGAAAATGAATTGAAAGAATTTATTCGTATAAGCTCAAAATTTGTGTGTAGTGCCACTGCCTATTATGGCACGGCTACTCAAAGTGTGGAAAATGCCCACTAAGGCACAATATGTAATTATTATTATTATTTTTTTCTCTCTCCTTTTTTCTGTATTTTTTGATCTCTCGTTTCTGTGAAATGTATATATGTTATTATTTTTCTTGATGTTCTTTATGTATTGTAAGATTTAATTTATATGATCATGAAATCTCCGAAAGGGGGAAATAAAGATTGAATGAATGAATGCTAGGATGAATGCCCAGCATAAATAAAAGATGTTTCAACAGATAACATTTATCGAGCCGAGGTTAGAAACTGTGTCAGACAATTCTTCTACTTCAAAAATTGCAATTTTGCGCCCGCAAAACTCTCATTACACATAAAAAACATAAATACCAATCGGTGTACCATCACTCACCGAGTTCATAACTACCTTTCGTGCAGGTAACTTTCACCTGTCAGATGTAATAATCAGTTTTGAAAAGAAAATTCCCAAGTGCAAAATTAAGTTCATGTAGGAAAATTGGATATCCAAAGGGATGCTATTAAAAACGCTCACCGTTCATTTTGCGCTTGCATTAGCGCTCCGTTCGCGATCTGCGTTCACTCACCGTTCACACATCGTTCACCAAGTTGCGTTCAGCGTTCGCACATCATTCACTTACCGTTCGCTCTGCGTTCGTTCACCGTTCAGGAAGGAAAGTAGAACGATTCATGGATTGTATCTAGGTAGTTCAGAGAAGTTAATACAGTCTGAACAGTTTGATATTTAACGGGCAGCCTTAGCCTATCTGCGAAACTCTGCTTCAAATCAATGTATCAAAACGTCTGCTAGTAACTATTAATTTAAAAAACGGGTTTAAACTTTGTCAGAAACTATGTTGTACATCTATATCATTTGGTTTTTGTAGCTTCCAAAGCTGAATCCATACATCAGCCATTGATCAGTATTGCAGTGTCTGAGCTTGAAGATGAGACATACAGTGATGAAATGGAAAGTGAACCGGGAAAAAATGCCAGTTTGGATAACAATCAAGCTGATATGAATACTAGGAAGCAATATAATGCTCGGAAGAATGCTGCACTTGCTTCAGAGAAAAAGAAAACAGATGAATCGCATAATGAAGGAATTGATCAATTGATTTTAGGAGACGTAAGAGAGGAAATATTGTATTCAAGGGAAAGTGAAAGAAATGATCAAGAGGTAATGGAAGAAATATTGAATGTCAGGAAAAATAAAACAAGTGTCAGTATGTTTGATTTTGCGGGACAACTTGCTTATTATGCTTGTCATCAGATCTACATGAGATCAGAAGCATTCTACGTACTGGTAATGGATATGAGTAAAGATTTCAATGACGTCGTTAGAACTGAAACAAGTGAATGCAAGGGCTCTATCTTCTCTAAGTGGACCTACAAAGGTAGTTTTAATAAGAAAAAATGCAAAATTTTCAACTGTAGACGTTATATTTCTTTGAAATAATGAGGGTCATCCGTAAAACTCGGAAAATGATCAGCATTTTTAATAATTGAAAAATAACTACGTATGCTGATATTATACTTGATTCGTAATACATATCAGAATGTTATTGGTAGTGGCAAGCCCTGGAGTTAAATAACAAGGCTCTCCTGTAACAAGTGTCAAACATTCTGTTAAATTTCTAATAGAAGTTATGTGGTATATGTCATGCAAATATTTTCAAAAATAATATACAGATATTTTATGTCGATTTTCTATGCTCAGTCATTTACCTTCACTTAGCAAAAGACGTCATTGAATTTGTATCCCGAGCTATATATAATTTGAGTACATGAATTCAATGAGTACCTTAATTATACTTGTTTTAACTTGTTTTACAACTGGTTATTCTTTTATTTTTTGTCAGGTGATTGTTATTCTCCATTGATACCTTGAATATAAAATGTATTTGTATTTTTTTTGTTGACACAAATATGTATGTGAATTTTTTATATTACTTTATATTCTTCGTTCCTAGAATATTTTTATTTCTGGTTTGATTCTATAAAATCGTTTGGTGGAACTTCTGCACATGTTCTTGTGGTGGCTACGCATGCAGAAGGCAAGACAAAAGAGGTATAAATAGAATCGAAGTTGTATGAAGGAAGAAGACGATAGTAAAGCTTCATTGCGTTAAATAAGATTTGGGCTGCTTTTTAAACCATTAATATTTAATTATATCTTGGATGTCGGTGCGATTATTAATTTCAGTACAATCTGGTAGATTTTATTTATTAATACGATTTAACGGCAGTAATACAATTACATGCTGAATCCAGTTTTAACTTTGCTTTTATCTTTCTTTTTTGTACACTCAATAATTTTAAAATTTTCAAAATAGGAAAAGGAATCTTTCTGGGAGGATCTTTGGAAGTTAGTACCACATGAAGATAAAATCAGGCTTTACGACATGGACTTTGCATTAGGACTTATAGAGATGAATGAAGATGGGTGGCAAGTTCTGCACACTCTTAAAAAAGCAATTGCTGAAGTAGTATTGAAAAAAATGGATACAAAGATAGAAGTTCCCTCAGCGTGGTCTCTTCTTGAACATTTCTTGTTCAAAACAGAAAAGCCAATTTTGTCAATCAGTGACATAAATGATGAGAATGAGAGACTTCAAGAATATCAATTGAAAAGTCAAGAAGAAATATTTGATTTTCTGTCTTTTTTCCATGGACACGGTATTTTGCTCTTTTTTAAGGAGGAAGGATTGAAAGCGTATGCGATTCTAAGCATTCAATGGTTTTCTGATGCATTCAGTAAGCTTATTGCGGATAAGGAACACGTCATTAGAGACTGCAAACGAAGATACATTGAAGAGTGGAACCGTTTTAATGCCTCGGGGAATCTGAGTGATTCTCTTGTAGATGTTCTATGGAAAGAGGAAGCGTCATTTATAAAACATAAGGCAGCGCTTATGTCATACATGGAGAGATTACGGATGTTAGTCAGCATTGAAGGAGAATCCTCCTGGTATGTCCCCTGCATGAACCATATGCCTTTTAAACACGAAATCATCTTGAAACAAACAATGGAGAAGTCGTCCATTCTGTGTTTTCGGTTCACTTCCTTTGCCATGTTTGTCTACTACAGGCTTATTGCATATTGCATGAGTTTCCTGAAGTGGAATGTGCAGCTCGATAAGGACAAAAATCAATGTCTGTATCACACAGCAGCAATTTTTGAAACCAAAAATCACACAGTTATAGTTGGTATAATCAATAACGACATCCAGATTCAAGTCTTGCGAATAAAGAACCTGAATCCAAAGGTATCCTACGAAACTGGAAAAACAATTGAAATTGCCTTAATAGAATTGACGAAGACATTTGATGAAAGGAAAAACTTCCTAAAAGGCTACAAATGTCTGAATCGTTTTTGTAGCACGGAAGATCTTACATTTATTCCAGAAAATGAACTGGCTGGAGTTCAATGCATATGTTCAATAGAGGGTAAACATGAAATAGATGCAAAATGGACACTATTTTTCTGGCAAAAGGTGCGTACTTTTTATGTCACCTCAACAAACTTTGGAGAGCTTTGTGATACCCTTGGTGTCAGTGTCGGCGTCCCAGGTAAAAGTTTTTGGCGCATTTTTTTTCTTTTTAATTTCTGCTATGTGATATCGGCTAAGAAATGAACCAGTAAACCTTTTCCGATAAGATTAATTCTTATGAGCAAGCATTGATTCCCAGTTAACGATTTGCCCTATGTTGACTTAACGTGTATGGGTGATACATCTAAGAATGCATTTTACCAAGCGAACTTATGATGCTGGATCTGTTTTACATTTTCTGGATTATTGAACAAATCAAAATTGTTGGTGCAGATATCATTTTCAAGTATCTATAATCCTATATGGACCAAATTTGCATGAGTTATAAATGTAAGGATGTATATTACTCGACTTGCTACATATTTTGGATCTAACTTTCATTTTCCGGATGAGTAAAAAGATTAAGGTGTTTTGTGCAGATCTTTTTTCCAAGTAACTATAAGCCCCTAGTATACCAAATTAGCATTGGTGATATAGCTATAGATGCACACTACCAGACTTGTTCCAGATGCTTGATCTTAACTATTTTTATGGAATGAGCGAACAGATTAAATATTTTGGTGCAGGTTTCATTTTTAATTGGCTATTAGCCCTAGATTGACGAAATTTACATGGGTGATATATCTAAGGAGGCTTACTACAAGACTTGCTATGTGTCTTGGATCTGATCTACATTTTACAGATGATTGAGCAGATTGAAGTTTTTGTTGCAGGCTCATTTCCAAGTAACAATAAGCACTATTTGATCAAACATGAATGATACATCTAAGTATGATTTTTACCAGCAGTGATCAGATGCTGGATCCGACCTACATTCTTTGGAAGAGCAAACATGTCTTGGGAGCTGTTCATTCTACAGCTACTTAAATTATTTGTGACCTTTAACCTTGTGTGCTTAGTTCATTTTAACGACGTTGGGGGGGGGGGGGGGGGGGGGCTTGTGTGAAACCTTCGGCGTCGTTATCGGCGACGGCGCTCCAGATAAAGGTTTTTAAGTATTTTTTTGCCCTACATTGATCAGATATGCATGCACGTTTCTTATAGTGTGTCAAGATTTCAGATGCTGCAATTTCAGCTAAGGAATGACCAGGTTAATGTCTTTGAAGTAGGTTAAAGGTTTTGGTGTAGGTCTCATATCCAAGTAATATAAGCCATATAATGACCAAACTTGCATGTCTGATACATTTACATACTCTCACCACAGGCTCCTAACTTTACTTATTTTTCTTTTATTAAAAAATATATCCCTACTTGATTAAAATGACAATGTATCCATCGGACTGCAAACTTATATTTTCGAAGTCGGTAACATCCAGTTGTATTTTCTTCTGAGACTCTGTAAAATAAATTCCCTGCAATCACATTCTCTCTGTTTCCAGTCTTTCGAGGTCTGAACGCACTGGAGGTGCAACCAGGAGGGCGAATATTAAAAATCTTTCGTCAAACTCGACCTATTGCTTTCACAATGCTGGAAATAACCAAATAATGACTTCTAAAATTCAAGATGGCCGTTCGATGGATATCTTGTTTATTATAAGGTAGGGGTATACTTTTTTGCTTAAAAGAAAATAAGTAACCTAAGGTGCCTGTGACTACCATTTAGTGCCAGACTTTCTTCAGATGCTTGATGAAGGATATGGAGATAACGAACAATATTCAATCTCAATGTCCATAAACAATACAAAATCCAAGCAGAGCAAACACGGACCTCCTGAGCATCAGAGGTAGGATATCGATCAGGTGACAAGGAGGAGTGAGCAACCCCTGCTGACCAGTCACACCCGCCGTGTGCTCCTTGTCAAGATCAGGAAATATCGGGAAAAATCATACGTCAATTCGTCGATTCAATAATGGACTAACAATTATTATAAAAACGTTCGTCAGTATTTAAATCATAATTAATTGTATTGGCATTTGAAATCATCGTTTCGACCTTTGATGCTATATCTGCATTTTATTGTCAATTTATTTTTTGTATAGATTATAAATTATCCTCATCGGTTTATTTGTAATATAAATCCCGTCTCATACAGGCACAAAAAATATATTAATGCTCGTCATAATTTGAGTGCTAACCTCGATTAAGAGAAAATCCTTCGTCCTACAATGCAGAATTATTTTTTTTCAGAATGATTGTCCCAGGAATCCATGCTCGTCGGAAGAAAATCTTGATGTTTGTGCATCAGAATCTAGTACAACAGATGACAACGTTCAGTGTGCTTACTGGCAAAAGGTAAATAACAATTTGTTGATTTCCTTATTTGATTGTATGTTGTATATCGTCCTCCTTCAGAATATTCTCGAGTTTGGAATGAAGATTGCTTTATAAATATATATTTGATGTAATTGTGTTAATTATTTTTCAAAGTAGTAATCTTTGATTTAAAAAAAAATCGGCAATGGTTCTGTACATGCGCAAGTCACTTCACTTTTAGTCACCACAAAGCTACCATCAAACCGGGCTTACAAGTGAGTAATGTCCAAACTCCGGATTTAAACATTTCTAGACAAATTGACATTAAGATTTAAATGCATTTTTGGGGAAATTCTTGTAATTTTTGTATATATCAATGTATATATATTCTGAAAGCAGGTATTGTGTTGTTTCTGAAAATTATCATGCCGGAATTTCAAATAATGAGATTCATTCTAGTTTTCTGCTTAGTTAATTGTATATAGAAAATTTTTATTGTTGGGTTAAAAAATATTGAAGATTGGGTAGGGTTTGGGTGTAAACACCAGAATTTATCATTTTCAAATATAACTAGTTACCACCGCATTGATTTCGATAATGGTAAAATCGCTTAAATAGTGCACAAAGTTTTACTCAAGCTAGTAACAAAATGGTACAGCCAAATAAATATTTTCTGTATAATATTTTACAGTGTTTATTTTCTCTTCAAACGGTGCAAGAATTATTCGGATATTTCCAGTATTAATGAAGTTATGAATGTTTTTTCAGACTATTTTTGTTTTTCAAGTCGGATGCGTAGAAAAGTGTATATGCCATATAAGGGGCTACCATTAAGCTACCAGTAAGCCATCGTTAAGCAGTGGATATTTTTTTCAATTTCGAGTTTCCACATTACTTAATTTTGCAAATTAATAAAATATAAGAAATTCGAAAACAAAAGCAAACATTTCAAAAGTGGAAAGTTCGTCTTTATTTTGAACATATTTTAGGCTGAAAGGAATTCACAACCTCAAAAAGGTTTGTTATAATAAATTTGGAATTCATTTTCAATGCAAATCCTGTTGTATTCTTTAAATTTGTTTTCCAGCGATTCTTCATTCTTTTCCACATTGGAAATACTGTAAAGAAACTTTTATTTGCGTGATAGGAATTTTTGCAAAATTTGCAAGAGCCTCCAATAATATTTTTGCCACGAACCGGTCCTTAAAATGTATGTGTCTATTGACAACAGATCTAAAAAGGCTTGATCGCGAAAATTAATCGGCCCGAAATAGTGTACCCATGGTAAATCGCAAAAAAAAAAAATCGTTGAGAATAAGAATTGGTTGAAGTATATTCAATTGGTGGTATTCTTACTGTGCTATCTAATGTGAAATATAAACTGACATAAAAATCTTAAATGCTTTTTAACCTTAGGACCAATGACAATTTGCAAAATTTTGAAACTTAAAAAATAATCAACAGCATTTTCACTTAAAAAAATAGATCGACGATAAATTTCAAGATTCAGGGTATGTTTTATTTTATTGTAAATACATTCACCCCTAAAGTTCTTGAAATTATTCGCATAAATGCATGTTAAGAAACAATGTAAAACAGCTAAAGGTAGCGAATGAAAAACGCCTGCAGATTTCGTAATCTTGACCTGCTTTGTGATCTGCTTACGTCATTTACAAAATTTTCCCATAAAATTACCCCTCAATAAAATCTAAAAATATTTAGCGTCGTGAATATACAAAATAACTTTATGGCATAAGATTAATAAAATTAAATTTAGGTCTAAGTAAACTGTTTGATAAGCTAAGGATTGGAAAATATTTTAAGAATTGGAATATCCCTTATATAATTATTGAAAGTTTCCTCCATATATCATTTAGTAAACCGGATATTACAGAAATTACTAGTATATTGGTGAAGGTCATTTTTGGTCATATTTAAAGCTAAATAAAAGTAAATATGACTCTACATAGCAATTTTGAGTAAAGTCTGGAAACGTTGGCGCAGTTGTCTTTGTTACAAAAAGGCGCTACGTGTACATTACACTTTCCCTTTCACGTGTTTAAAATCATGGCGTTGGAATAAAATGTCATGCAGTAAATATTCACGGAGCAGATGAAAAATCGATAGATGCAACTGATTTCATTTTAATTACAATTTTGTATCTCCAATATTCTACATTTTTTTAAGGATAAATTCCTTCATTGGATTTAAACAGTTTGATTTTCACGACTGTGAATTTTTTTTTTCATGTACGCACATGTACATGTATGTGCGTCCACTAGATAGAACATACGTCACAATACGCACAATCATGTGTGTGCAGCAGAGTAAGGCTTAATTATGATCACTATTCACATCTACAACATTTTTTTCTATTGAAATAAAAAAAAATGAGCACAATCCTGCAAAACTTATGTCTCTTTTTAAAGATATTCTCAATAGATGTTGAAGTTATGACTGTTGTTATGGTTATGTATGACGTCAAAAAAGGGGGAAACTGCCATGAAAACGGAATTAGTGTATGTTTTTATTAAAAGGTTTCATTAATGGCTGCCATACATAAAGAACACGGGGATCTGTTGTCAATACTCTTAGACTTTATTGGAGATGGTAATGTTCTCCAGCGTTGGAAAATATATATTGGAAGCATTACAAATCGTCCATATTCAAGTAACAGAACTGTAGTTGAAGATTTTGATAATCTACACCAAATTGGGAAGCTGTCTCCTGGAAAATATGATGTACTGTTGGATTTTTTCAAAAAATCAGATAACAGAGCAATTGAATTCATTAAAAATACTCAGTCAAGATTGGTAGAGTTACGGAGACAAGATGGGAGTTTTCACGTGGAAACAGATCAAGGGTAAGTCATTTAATGTTTGAATTAAATAAATACATCATGTTTTATTGGCTAACATGTTGAAATATATAAATAGTTTATATATAATTTCAGAAGTCTGGATGGGACGAAACATCGGTCAGCAGGTATGCCTACTTACCAGCATAACTTGATAAATACACAAAAGCAAAAATTTTAAAGCATCAATTCGTGTCAGTATCTTCTTCATTATGCATTTAGCATACATGTATGAAGGATATGGAGATAACGAACAGTATTCAATCTCAAAGTCCGAAAAACAATTCAAAATAAGAGCAGAGCAAACACGGACCCCCGAAACATCAGAGGTGGGATCAGGTGCCATGGAGGAGTGAGCATCCCTTGCCGACCGGTCACACCCGCTGTGTGCTCCTTGCCATAATCAGGAAATAAAGGAAAAATCCGACGTAAATTCAATTCAGTGTATATATAATGGACTAACAATTGGTATGAAAATCGTCAGTCAGCAATTGACTCTATGATAAATTGAATTTGTCTTCACAAGACATTGTATCGACCATAGAACTTACGAAATTATTACTTTAAACGAAACTGTTGATATTCTTGTTTTATCAAGCATGCTCCTGCGGATCGAATCAACTGAGATATATATAAGGTGATGAAGATATATTGCAGCATAAGTAAGGGCAGTTGACGAAAGAAAATTTAAAGTCATCACGTTTATCCTATAGCTTGGTTGATAGATTACCATTAGTGTCTTTTTCAAATAAAATATTCAAGTATGAAACTCTGTGGTATCTCTTATCTCAAGCCCACCAGAATATATCTATTCGATGTAGGAATAGAAATTATGTATAAATAATGTAAAAATAAATATAATAAATAATCTATAATGTATAAATTAACAAAAAACCAACGAGTCCGATTTTAGATAATTTGTGGTTAGAATATTTGTTTATATATCATGATATAACAGAAAGACAAAAACGTTTGCTTCTATATAACATATTTTTATTTTTTTCTTTGCAATTGTTTCCTGTTCATGAAGAGGGGCGCAGGGCAGGTGTGGGCGGTCGTAGGGGAGTCTGGCTCCTCCATGGCACCTAGTTTCGCCTCTTTATTTGCGCGTCCATGTTAACGTTCTCTCTTATCAAGATAGGTGTTGTTTTTTGGGGGGCTTTCAATGTTAGATGCTATTCATTAACTTCAAATTATAAAATATTGACTGGAGTTTAGGGCAACGCTTATTATGAATGCCTCCAAAGGCTAAAAAATTGCCCGACGTGAAGTGAAAACAAGCATGGCCTATGTTACCCCAAAACACATTCATTAATTGTTTTATTATATGGAAAAAAAATCATTCAAAAGATATTTTGTATTCAATTAAATATCTGTATCTTAGGCGGAGACCTAGTTTTAGCGAGACCTCTCTTCAATACCTTGCCTGGATTTTATGACTTTTTTTTTAATTCGAAATGATATTATCACGTTACTCTGAGTTAATCAATCTTTTAATCAGAATCCAAATGAACAGAATTTTGGGAAAACTCCCTTTGCCGGCCAATAGTAAAAATTTAATGTTTGTGGGCATTTTTTACAGTTTTCATGAATTTATTGACTGTTTATCTGCATAGAGAATATGGATACTCTTCTTAATCAACTTTTCTATATCAATTTGTAATACTCATAGTTAGTTCTTGATTTTCGGCCGATCTCGGCCCCTTTTTATAGCCCAGCCCCTTTTTCACATTAAAGCTTTTATAATTGTGAACACTTTTTGTACACCGATTAATAAATTCTTTTCGTTTCGAAAAAAAAAAACTATAGGGTATATTGAAGCAAAAGTCCTTTAACTTTTTTACGAAAGAAAATAAAGGTTGATAATTATACAGGTTATCAGAAACACGTTTTTCTACAAAATTTTCATCAAAATATTTCTCACTTTTGAGATATAAAGTTCAGCATTCTGGTTACTGTTCGCCCCAAATACGGCACAATTAATTTGAATAGCATGTGTACATGTACGATTGGTTATCAAAGAGTTCTTTGCTGACGCGATAAAACCAATACCAAAACATTGACCAATACAATATTTTAAGTGAAACATTAGAGATAATGAACAGTATTCAGGATCAATGGTCCACGGAAGTGAAAAATAACATTAAAAAGACCGTACTTTTATAATTTGAAGTATGTCAAATGCACCATTTTTAATCGACATTATTATTATTTATATTATTTCAATAGATTATATACTGACAAAATAAACATTTATTTTTTTCCTATTTTGATTTCATACAAGGAATATAGTAGTAGATATCACCGTTTTTTGGACAAAAAAGGTATTTGCTTATAACAGGAATGTGTTTTAAATTATTTAACAGGAAAATGTTTTAAATTCCTCATATTTTCAGAAGAGTATCCAATGGCTACCTCATCTTCGAAGGGAGTAAATTTTCAGTGTGCCTCATCACCAACAAGGAATGACAAAGAAATCAGAGGGGAAATGGATGCCTCTAAACGTTTGTTTTTTTTATTATTATTTAATAGAAGAAATCAGGTCAAGGTACTTGTGTAAAATTTATGAAAATAATTCTAGTAATGCACATTACAATTGTATCCTTGTTTCACTGCATTTAGAAAAAAAAGATTGAAATAGCCTTTTTATTCTACATGGATAATGCTTTCTATATTTTGACCTTCTGTCAATCCTTCTATAATTTGAGAAACAAATTTCTCTGACCATAATTCCATTTTAATTGAATCAAGTGTTGCTCTGTTGTTATCTCACACATGTTGGTCCCTTGTATTATAAATCTAGACTTTATAAATCTGATCATTATAACTTCTAGGATCTGTTATTTAAAACAACTTCATCGATTCCTAATATTCCTTAATAAGATCTTTATATTGCTGCTAACATTTTAAGAAAAAAAATATCAATTCCTAATTTTTCCCCAAATTTGCTTTAACACAATGCAGACATGGCGTGAATGTTGGAAAATAAAAGTTATACTCAAAATATATTTGGAATAGTTTGTTGAAAAGGACTAACGGTATTCTTGAAGAAAAATATAACATATAAAAGTCAAAGATTATACATGTGCACATAAAACACGAGCAACTAGCTTAATGTGAATGAAAACATGATGAAAGGACCCACAGTCTTAAATTCCAATTAGCTGGTTTTATTAACAATCAATAAAAAAAAAGATTGTTAAGAATTGTGGCATTAATTTTTTTTCACAATAAGGTGGATAATTGGACCGTAGAGACATTTTTTTTAGATGATATCTATATTTATATATATATATCAATTTATACACATTTTTATTGTAGGTAGACGGAGACAGGCAGACAACAGCAAACGTGAAAATAAAAATGAACATGGTGATATGTTCCAATAAATTTTAGCGCATTGGTATTTTGTCTACAAGCAAGGTAGATGTAAGTAATCGTTTCTTAAATGAATTTGTGATAACCTCTAAGGTAAAAAGCATTTGGCATGATAATACGATAACGAACAGTGATCGATATAAGCCAAACATCTTACAAACTCTACAAATCTATGAAACAGGCGTCTCTAAAATTTGAAAGGTGTTATCAAGGAGTGGAAAGTATCCCCTGTTGACCAGTCTTACCATATTGTAACGACTAAAGTCAAGTTCTTTTTATACCCCCTCCACTCCGCTTGAAAACCGGGCGGGTATATAGTAATCGTTAATTCCGTCTGTCCGCCCGTCCGTCTGTCTGTACGTCCGTCCGTCTGTTACGCTTTGGGGTAACCATCTCATCCGCAACTCCTCTTATACCACTGAATGAAATTTGATGAAACTTTCACAGAATCTTTATTACATATTGCCATTGTGCACCTCCTATTTTACTTTTTTATCCAACACAAATTTTGGGTTTCCCATAGCAAAACATGGACACTGCCATTTATACACATATTGGAGGCGGGGGGTATCATTTAGTGAGCCCATTGCTCACAATACCTCTAGTTCTGGGTCTTTATTTTTACTAAAACATCAAATTAGCAATAAGTTACAAACAGAAATGATATATGTACATACATTACCAAATAGAACACAAAACATGAATAAGTGAAGATTAAATCAGAAAAGGAATTTAAATTTAATCGAACACATACATGTATCCCCATAACATGGTGATGTCAAACCCGGTCACTCATACATGTATTGTTTTACAGCGTGTATGATCTCTACATTGAAATAAACAAGATATCAGTAATATTTCGTATATTTTAAGTTTGATAAAACGCAAAATTAACAAACATTTTCACCATAACACGCATCACTCTCGAAAACATACTGTTCAGATCAATGGTGGCAGCACTGTGAATGTTATTATATAAACTTGCCAAACCAGGTTTTAGTGATTTACTGAATAAAATAATAAATTTATAAATTCAAATCACTGCCCTGAAAATTAATGAAAAAGAAAATATACAAAACAACTAAATAAATAGTCAAAAAGAATTTTTTTCAAATTTTTAATCATATAATCTTTAAATAAAATTAAATACCTATGATAAATATGATAATTTTATAAATTCAAATCACTGCCCTGAAAATTAATGAGAGAAATATAAAACAACTAATTAGACAAAAAGAATTTTTAACAAGTTTTTAGTCATATAATCTTTAAATAAAATTAAATACCTAGCGCAAGGACAAAAACTCTGTAAATAGAATATTGAGTTAACAATGTATGGTGAGCGTTTCGAGTTCAATTTCAACCATAAGTCTATGTTTCGATCAGGTATAAGAAATATTCTAGTTGCATTTGGTGTTAAACAAAGGTCTAACAATTGGTATAAAATGTATCGGTTAAAATGCGACCCCATGATAGATTGATTTGCTTATTTATTTTATTTCTTTACGTTATGTCGACTCTAAACAAAATTGTTTTAAAAAGCATATTGTTAAGTAATCTTTCTGAGGTGAACTGAACAAATGATCTGTTTCGTTTAACTACTGAGTATGCATGCTTTTTTTTTATAAAAAAAAAACATTTTACTTGAACCTTAATATTCTCTGTCCAATAAAGAATAAATTGATGAATTTTAAAATGTCATAAGATTCCAACATTCATTCTATGTTTTTGTTTTCTGTGTTTTTCAGGAACGCCATCCAGGGCCAGCTTTTGCAGTATTTTTGGATAAATTAGCTGACAATT